GGCTGTGCCTAGGATCAATGGTTCGCGCAGGAACGGCGGGCTCTGGAACGTCTACCGCGGGACCATCAGTCTTGGACCTTTCTTGGGATTTCTGGAATGTCTTGTCCATGGTTTAGTGTCGTTAGCGATCCTTTGTAACGTTATACGCACGTGAAGATTTTTCATGAGGCACATAGCATTGCCTACTGCAACAAGAATAAGTCGACAAAGTATCAAATATTTCATCTTTTGAAAATATAGAACTTAAAATGGTGGGTAAAGTACCAGCTGCGTAACTCGTGACCCGTTTCTATATAATCGAACAGCGCCAGGACGCCAGACTCCTCATTTAACCGTACTGCACCAAAGGTATCTCGCGCCATGCAAAAACACTACTCCAGAGAAGCGAAAGCCGTCCTCATTACAAAGCTGTTATTCATCCAGTTTCGTCATGCCTCTCCCTCTCTTCGGACTGTTTGCGCGGCTCTTTATTCTCTCCCGGCTGTACGTCCGGCTCAACTCAAAGGCACTTGGGGGCCCGAGCCCCAGGCCTGTCCCTTCTCTGACCACGTCTCCAGCACTCGTGGCGCCAAAGTAGTTTGGTGCACCTGACGCAAGTTCAGTCTTGATCTGCGGCGTCGCCCAACCACTTGTCTTTCCAACCTTGGAACCCTCAGAGGAGTCTGAAAGCTCATTGTCCGAGGAGTCCAGATACGTTTCTTCGAGTTCGAATTCGTTCGCTGCCTCGCCATCTTCTAGGTCAACGCGTTCATAGGGCTGCTGGGTATTCGAGGAAGAGCCACCAAGGCCAAAGAGCTTTGCTGGGAAACTGCGTCCTCGGCGGCGGTGGAGAGGATCTTTGCCCTGTTTCCTCTTGAAGAGCTTGATGATGGACTGCTTGGCCGCGTTCCTTTTTTCTTTTCCAAGAATGAGGCAAAAGATGAAGATGACGATGAATATCATGATGAAGAAGCCGGGTATGCGCTGCGGGTTCTCGACAAAAAGCCGATGCCAGTCACTGTCGGATTCGTACAGTCTTGGTATGCCTCCGGGATATTGGAAATCTGCTGGTATACCGGGTACGTTCGAGCCAAAGCCTACTGCGAGGGCTTCTTCAGACGGTGGTGGAATCTCGCTGGAAGCGTACAAGACCATCTTTCCCAATGTCCAGCTCAGCTCCACCTTGTTGATCTTGTTGACTGCTTGGAATGGGTCGAGAAATCCTTTGGCCTTTGCATTGTCGATGACGTCCTTGGTGGTGTTCGTGCTGCCGTTCAGATCTTCGATGCCAACTCGGGGGACGCCAATTCCATCGTGCAGCATGTTGATGACCCAGGACGCCTTGAAACACACCTCTCGTGCCTTGTCCTCATCTACTTTGTGACCCCATTTCTTCTTCTTGATGCCCTTTTCTATGCTCTTCCAGTCTTGACTGCAGAACTCATCCACTCGCTCCTGATAGGTCTTGAGGTCATATGCCTTGTGCTTGTGTCCGTGTTCGAAGATCTCGTGCGTGGTATGCCAGTACTCGGATACGCCTACGAAGTGGTTTACGTTGAAATCGATAGCGGGGACATGCTGTCCGTTGATCAGGCATGGCGAGTCTGTACACTCCTTCTCTTTCTCCAAAAGCGGAAATGTCCGATGCAAGCACTCTGAAAACTGTCCTGTTCCTACCAACTTCGCTGCGGCCTTCGGTTTTGGCTGGTCGTCATCATCGTCGTCGTCGTCCGAGTCGATCAATTTGCCATCTTCTGTGACCTCCACCTTGAGATCTGCTGGTAGGCAAGGATCTGGAAGCTCCTTCTCCGCGCTGGACTCCAACAACGCCTTGATGTAGCGCTCTCTTGCTTGGTTGACGCCGAACCCCAGCCATGTCGTCACAAACACCTTGTGTTCGAGCGGTGTGCCGTCGATCGCACGCAGGCGCATGAGCGTCAGGTCGCGCGCATGCTTCTCCGCTTCGGTCGCATTTGGTGCGAAGGCGATCTGAGCCGACGCGCCTCCCATATCCAGGAATCCATAGGTGTTGTGGCCCTTGCCATGGTCGTGGTCTTTGGGACGATCGAATCCGCCAAGCAGGTAGTTCGCTGCGATCCAGCCATAGAGGCCTTCTGTCTCTCCCGGTATGACCTGAACATGTACGTCGCAATCCGGTAGTTGGAACTGGGTGGTGCTTCGCGCGAACTCGCAGACTTCCTTCAGTACCTCCTTCCGTTGGCGCTCGGGGAGTATGCGCATGCCCGCAGTCGCAAGGAGGAAGAGAGGCGTGTTTGGGACTTCTTCGAGGGGTACGTATTTGAGCGCATGGCTGAGGAGCTTGTCGAGGTGTTCGGAGCCGACATCGTGGGGGTGTTCGCCGAAGGTGGAGATGCCTGTTCCGTCGCGTGTTAGTCCTGCGGATGAGTATATTGTGCCAGGGCCGCATACCTGGGTGTATCTTCTTAGTCCAGTCCTCCTTTGTTTCTATTACTGGCAGGCTGTGGAGTTGCGCATCGCCAGCCTTCTTGCGGGCGGCTTCGTGGTTCAGCCATCGGTAGATGTGGACGCGCGTCCCCTAAACATGGTCAGCTACAACCCTGCGATAACTGCACAGCAACGACTTCAAAACGTACAGAGGACCCAGCATCTAGGACAACACCGTATCTCCCTATGTGCCAAGCAGTGTCAGCGTCCGGGCTGTGTGGTGGGCATGGGGCTGCGCGGAGGGGATGGCGTACACTTTCCCATTGGGAGTAACCGGGTCCGAAGCGCGTTATCGAGTAGGGCGCATGCAAATGGCGACGGTGGATATTACAAGAGGTACGGAGGAAGACGAGTAGCGGCGCGGCCGAATCGAATAGGATATACGAGGGAAACGAGCGACGTAGGGAGCGGCGACGAGTTGTGGTGATGGCGGAGAACGAAAGGTTGAGACTTGGACCCTGGCTGTCGGCGCCGCTTCCAGTAGGCGCATGGATCAGCGCCCGCTGCGACGTTTCACGCGGCGGGACAAATGTGCCACCAGTTGCGGGCCATTATGACGCCATCTTCATTACTTCACGCGACCGTTGTTCACTTCCGAGCAGCAATCGTCTGCTTTTGATATAGTGGCTGTTGCCGCGAGCACCACGAGCAGACAGAGGCTGGATCAATCTGGCACGGTGATCTAGTGGGCTGCGCCTCGGTGTCACTACAAGTTGACACCTAAACGTTGCGTCGCGCAATTTGCATGTACGGGCCGGCAATAACTGCGATCAGCACTGTCATGCGCGCGGAGTGACTATGACGTAGAAACATCCCTCATGCTGGGTCTGTACGCAAAACATGTCGGACCATAGCTGGGTGTCGGAGATATAGTGTGCTCGTGATCAGAAGGCAGGAGCCATCGCGACAGTGTTGCTCGATGTGGAAGGCTCATACCGGCGCCGACGACATAAGGTCGAGCAAAGCAAAAAGATTAAGTGAACATACCGCATTGATACACCCTGTATAGTGATAGAAAGGCATGGGGGAGCAAGCCGGAGCTGTCACGGTCGCGGAGGGGCGGCTCTGTGCGGTTTGGCCAAAAAGTGGCCCGGGAAGGAACGACGGGCAAAAAAGAAGGTGCCACATCGCTCCTTCCCTCCCAAAAAATTGACCTCGAGGTGATTTGAACACCTAACCTTCAGGAATCTCCAGAGGAACTGGAATCTGACGCGCTACCATTGCGCCACGAAGCCGGTCTTGTTGTTGATGGAGGGAATGTCAGATTTGTAGTTTATATTCACATACAAACACGTCCAAAACGAAACAGCGACTGCGGGGTCATCATCAAGCAACCCCACCAGACAGTGCAAGTCGATATTGAAATAGTGGGTCAACGGCCAGCCTTTGCAAATTGGAAATGTACCTGCCTACAGCTGCAATTCATATCCGCTCAATCAATAGTGCCACCCGCTGCACCTTCAGTACTCCATCAAAAACCTCAGGAACGCCTTGGCAATCACCACCCCGTCATGGTGCTTGCCAACTCTCTCCAGCGCATCTTTGGCCTGCTCGTCCTCAAAGATACCCTGCTCGGCTCTCATCTTGACCAAATACGACACAATGGGCTCCGTGAATTCCGGATGCCCTTGCACGGAGATGAGCTTACCCTTCTTGTACATGCCTTGTACCAGACAACGTGGTGATCCACCGAGCTTTTCCACACCCTCTGGATACTCGAAGACTACATCCTTATGCATTTGGTGAATGGCCTGTAGATGTGAGTAGAGACACTACGATAATCGTGGCTTGCTACATACCAAGGTGTCTTGTTGGAATATTTCTTTCCCCTTCGCGGTAAGTTGCACTGGCATCACCGAGATCTCCCATCCGTCGTCGCTGCGTCCGACTTTGGCGCCTGCCGCCCTTCCCAGAATCTGATGACCGAAGCAAACACCGATTATACGGATTCGATCTTGCTCTAGTAATTTCTTGGTAAAGTCGACAAGCTTCAAGATCCATGGATCATTATCGAATGAATTGTGCTCTGTTTCCCATGAGTCAGAATGGCGATATGGTTGATTGGAGCCATCACTCACTCGAACCCGAAATCAACACTGCGTCTATGTTTTGCAAGTCCGGATACTCCTGCGCCGTGACCACATCAAATGCGCTCAACTCCAAGTCTTGCTTTGGCGATAAGCCTAGGTCCTGTGCTGCCCTCTCCAACAGTGTGGTGAAGATGCGATCGTATCGGCCATACTCATCGACGATAGCTGCTGGTGGAGTATCGCACTCTAGAATCGCTATCCGCAATGGCGTCTTCATTTTTCCAGAAGTCAATGTTGCGAGTTGTGCAAGGTGACGCCGTCTTTGATAGCGGAAAAGGGACGGCGAGTTCGGAAACACTAGCGCAATCCGGCTGGTACCCACCTGCATCTAAAGCTTATCAGCCTCCAGGGGTCTAGCTACCTGGAAACTTCATCTTCGCGTCACTCAGTTTTGCTCCGACTCGTCCGCGCTGGAACATAAAAGAACTATTGCGCATAGTTCTTCGGCACCTCAATCGTGCTACCATGCCGTCATCTGCGTCCGAACGAACACCGCTACTTCGCTCTACATCGGCAAACACCCCCGTCACCGAAGATGCAATAACCACCGCAGAAGTAGCGCAACAAGGCCAGGGCGCGGCGCCTCAGTTTCCAACATCGCAGAAAGCGAGAAGCGGCTCACTTACCGGATCTGTCGACCCTGGCCATGTGCCCCCAATCACGGATGAGGCAGAGAGCCTGACCAAGTTTCAAAAGAATGGGAAATTAGAAGGTGTTGGAGAGTGGAGGTTTAGGTTCGTGTTTGGTGGTATTCTGCTTGGTTACTTCGTGAGTCGACCTGCATATGTCCAACATGGCTGCGCATACTGATCATGTAACGACAGGTTGCCATGTTTGACTCCACTCTCATGGCATCAAGTCATCCAGTCATCACATCGTACTTCCATGCATCAAATTCAGCCTCATGGCTATCAACAGCCTTTTTACTCACATCAACTTCGCTGCAGCCACTTATGGGCCGACTCTCAGATACTCTGGGTCGTCGACCATTGTATCTGGCTGGTCTCGTCGTCCTCGCAGCTACGACCGCATGGTGCTCTTTTGCGCAGACGATTGGTAGCTTCATCGCCGCCCGAGCCTTTTGCGGCATTGGCGCAGCTGGTGTTCTATCGATGGGTAACATCATGACCAATGACCTAGTCAGCATTGAAGTACGGGGTACCTACCAGGCATACATCAACCTCTTCTACGGAGGCGGATCTGCTTGCGGGGCAGCTTTTGGCGGCTTTCTATGCGACAAGTTAGGATGGCGGATGACTTTTGCCATACAGATACCCATACTTGTCATGCTGTTCATAAACGCCATATTCACCACGCCCTCTTCACTCGGCCCAAACTTAGCCAAACGCTATGGTCTAGGTTTGCAGGAAGGGCTGAAGGGATTCGACATCGCCGGATCCTTCTTGCTGACGGTATCTGTCGCGTTTCTGATTTTAGGGCTCAATCTTGGAGGCAATGTATACCCATGGAAGCACTGGATCGTCATCACATCGCTGGTCATCGCGCTCGTGACAGGCGCCGTTCTCGTCAAAGTTGAGTCTAGAGCTGCGCGAGCGGTCATGCCTCTGCCCATGTTGTTTAGCAAGCCTCGAGGCAATCTTGTCTTCAACAATTTCTTTGCACAGGTTGGCATGAACACCATCCTATTCAACGCGCCCTTGTACTTCCAAGCGGTTGAGCTCGAGACAGCGTCTGTCTCCGGGTTCCGCCTTGCTGGCCCTTCCGTTGCCTTAACCATTTGCGGCGTGTCTGCAGGCTTCATCATGACCGCCACTGGTCGGATGAAGTGGCTCATTGTTGTTGGCTCACTTTCGATGCTGTTGGGCGCTACATGTCTTTCCTTGATGTGGGATGGCATTCCCAAGTGGCTTGCCACCGTATTCCTGGTTCCATCTAGCATCGGTCAAGGGCTCAGTTTCCCGGCAACAAGTCTCGCGGTACTTGCAACAAGTACACAAGAAGATCAAGCAGTCATGACCAGCACACTCATCTTGTGGCGCAGTCTCGGTATTGTCATGGGTGTCTCGTTGAGCAGCCTCATTCTACAGAATGCTTTGACCTCGTACCTCGAAGCACTGGTCACCGGTCACAATAAGGCGAAGGTATGTCCCATTCTGATTCCAGCTAGCGGTGTTACGATGTCTTCGACGCAGTTGCGGATAACTAGGGAAAGCTCATCACCCGCACTGCGCGACTCCAGCATGTCATTCACTTGTGCCTTGCTCCGAACGTCGTCGTCTGGGTAATGGATCTATGCAGACTGCCTTCATGCTGTCATTGCTCTCATCGATCAGCGCTAATACCCTCCCGCAGATTATTCAACACGTTCGCAAATCGGTACGCAGCATAATCGACCTTGATGCTAAGCACAAAAGTCAAGGTCAGTTTTACTTACTGCGGGGCGCGCGTTTCCCCTGCCTTCAAGCTCGATACCAAGTCGCTGCTCTGTTATAGCATTGATACTGATCTCTTCCCTAGTCATTGAAGCATACAGCCGTAGTCTGCGACTGGTCTTCATCTCGGCAATCGCCATGTTCATCATCGTGAACATACTAGTGTTCGCCATCGAACTTCCGCAGCTCAAGAAATCCAAAGTGCACGACGAAGAAGAAGAAGAGTCAACGTAGTACAGCATCACTTAAACCGACTGCGAGATGGTCAGACATCGTTGCGAGCTCGATCGCGTCTATTGATGATAGCGTAGCTCGTGAAGAATTACAAAGACCATCGTGCGAACCAATCCAACATGTATGGCGTCGCATCCCATGATGTGGGCCCGTTCCTTAGTGTTTCGAAAGGCTCGCCTTGATTCTTGCGACTCGGCCAGCCGTGACCAAACCCCTGGATCGCTCTGTGAACAACGACATCATCAACATCGTTACACCGCCATCGACTCTCCGCAACGCTTCCGTTTTCCAGTTGCTTCGTTGAGGGGTTGCTCGCGCAATTGTCACGCTTCGCCCAGCTCTCAACCCAACTCAGTACTGGGATGAAAGGTGGTGGGGTTGGGCTGCTGCCGTCGTAGGGGACCACGCTATCGTTCAGCCCGTGCAAGTTCATGTAAGGGAGTACCCTATCCTGTAAGTTCGGAATGCATTCTTTCTCAAAGAGAGGTTCTGTCAAGCTTGAATCAGGATAGAACGCGCCCGCCACGGTTGCGAATGCAGCGAACTTCTTGTTGAGTTCCGCATCGCACATGAGAAGTCCAGTCAATCCGCCACCGTTAGAAAGGCCTGCGGCGTAAACGCGGCTCTCATCGATGCATAAGGTCGCTGTCAGGTGTGCAAGAAGTTCGGTGACAAAGATTCGATCATCGATCACAGAGGAAGTTGGGGCCAACGGGTCGCCTAGCCATTGCACCTACGCGTTCCAGTTAGCCTTGGTGTCTTGTGAGATCCTCCAATCCTGGAACATATGGTGACTTACGCCGGGTGCTTGGACATTCATGCCCTCCGGATACACCACGATGGTGTTTGGGTTGAAGTCAGGATTGGACAGCTCGCTGATGACCTCCATGCTTCTTGCGGGCTGTTGTTGACCATGGAACGCAATCACAAGAGGCAACGCTTCATCATTCGAGGCCTTGTACTTGGATGGCAGGTGTAAGATGTATTGGCGCTCGGTCGTCTTGCCGATCACCGATTTCGAAGACAAAGTGACATTGGTAGTAGATTTGCCCGGTGTGAGCCCCGAGGGCAACCGAGTTCCACAGCCAGAGCTCGCTGCGAGTACGACGGGGCAAAGGAGTGAAATGAGAGATAGAGACAGCATTGTCGCAATTCCGAGAACCAAAAACCAAGACGCGTGCTGCCAGGAACGGGGTCAACAGGTCAGGTATATATAGCTCTTGCGGCTTTGTGTACATGGGAAATTACGGACGAACAGAAGCGCCGCTCGTGCTGACGCGAAACCCCGTAGTCGGTCCTTTGAATACTAATCTTTCACCGCTGTTAATACAACGTGCAATAGCCTTGCAAATGTTGCTGTTGTAGTAGGCACAGCTCTATGTAAGTATACCGAGTCCCTCTTATAAGAGCTCTTTGTCGCAAGGTAGTCTCTATATACTAGCTTAACTTTTAACTTAAAAGTATCTTCTTTATAGTTCTAAAAGTAAATTTAGATATTAAAGCTATATAGAAATACTTAGGTTAAATTAGTAAACAATAATTACTATAATACAGAACTAATCTATAAAAGATTATAATATCTTAGATCTAAATAGAAAAGTAAGTAGTATTTTAAAATTAGAGAAAAAAAGTTTAAGTTTATTAATAAACTAGTAGTACTAGTAAATTAAAGTAAATTTAAAAAAGAAAGAATTTATAGTAAGTATATAAGATAGTATATTTTTAGAACTTACTAGATATAGTGTTAGAAAGACTTAAACTTAAATTCTTAGTACTAGTACTTCTAGTATAGTTAAAGCTTCTAATATATAAGCTAGTAAGATAAATACTTTTTAAAAACTAAAATCTCTTATAGAAAAGAAATAGAATATAACTATACTTTTTTAATAGCTTAAAACTAACTAAGCTATAGATTATAAAGTAATAAAATACTAGAAACTTAGTGTATAAAATTATAGTTATATATTTATTCTCTATTTCTATCTCTATCTTTATTTCTATTCTTATCTTATAGCTTATAGTAAACTAATTTTTTTTTAAACACTTAAAATAGAATTTTAAAACTTAGTACTAATTTACTTATTACTACTAATAATTTTAAGATAATATTTAGTATTAGTACTATTATATTATATATAATCTCTTTTTAAAGTAAATACTATTACTAACTTTTTTATTATAGTTATAATAATCTAAAAGCTAAAAGATTTTTAAAATTAGTAGTAGTAGAAAATTTATAGTATTATAAAAATACTATATATTTTCTATAGCTTATTATACTATCTAATTATTCTAGAAAGGTTTTAGAATCTTTCTACTTCTTTTAGTATAAGATCTAATATCTTAGAGTAGCTATAAAAGTATATAGAGTTTATTAGACTTAATATATATTCTACTATAAACTTATTAATAAGTTCTTAGTATTACTTTATTATATAAAATCTTTTTCTTACTTTTAATTTAGCTTACTTATAAATAGATAGTAATTAGAAATACTATTACTTACTAGCTTAGATAAAAGCTAAAATAAATTTAGCTTAAATAGAAATAGATAAAATAATAGTAAAGAGAGTTAAAAACTTCTTAGCTCTAATCTTACTTAGGTTCTCTACTATAGAAGAAACATAAAGTATCTACTTATTATATTAATAAATATGTACTTTATAGTCTATAATATCTTTCTACTAGTATTTCTAGAATTTAGAGAGTATATTTACTATACTCTAGTATAGTTCTTTAAGAAACTACTTATTAAAATAAGTAAGATAAAGGTAAACTACTAAATATTAATACTTTTAAGCTTATTTTATATTTAGTAATATTATATAAAGTCTAGATAGAATTTAAAAAATATAGAATAATAGTATACTTTATATATTACTTTTCTAAACTAGTATATATTTTAATAATAATTTTTCTAAAATTAAGCTTACTTAGTCTATAGATAATTCTTATTAGAGTACTTTAGATCTAGCTTAAAGATAAATAGCTTTTATATTAGTAGTCTAAGAAAGATAACTTTTATTTTATTTTTTACTTTATAACTTAATTACTCTACTTATAAAGCTCTTAAGATTATAATCTTAAAATAAAAGTATAATATCTTATTAGCTAAATTAGAAAGCTATCTAATTAGCTATAGAATAAAATTATAGTAATTATAAAGGTTAGTGTTTTACGTAGACTATAGTAGTAAGCTAATATAAGACTTATATTAGGTTACTACGCTCTAAGCTCTTAAGCCTTAGTAAGAAATATTAAAACTTTAGATAATTACGTATACTATAAAGTTTAATATATATAATACTCTAGATAGAAGTAGAATAATTAAATAGAAGTAAAATTATATATATATAAGTACGCGTAAGCTCTATAAAAGTAGCTAGTATAAGCCTAAAAGCTTACGTAAGCTTTATACCTTAAAAAATCTAGCTACTACTTTTAGTGTTAGCTAGAAGTAGAGTAGCTTAATTCTAGATAGAGTTATATAGAATTTTTGTATTAAAGTTAGAAAGTAGTAATAATTATCTAATTAGCTATATATAGTAAGGTAATTACTATAATTATAGAAGTTAGTGTTTTAGAGCTATATAGCTACTATAAGCTAAGTCTTAGTAAGAAATATTAAAACTTTAGATAGTTACGCGCACTATTTTTTATTTATTTAGAGTCTATTAGCTTTTACTAATAAGAGTATATTTCTATTTAATAGTACTTTAGTTATAATAGCTATAATTAGTTACGCGCACTATAAAGTATAATATAATATAATATATATAATACTATAGATAGTAGTAAAATAATACGCGTATAGCGCGTAAAACTTTAGATAATAGTAAATAATAGATATATAGTATAAGATATAATATTAAAAAAGCTCTATACGCTAGCTTATATAAGCTTCTAGAGTCTATATAGCTTTATATTTTAAAAAATCTAGTTACTACTTTTTAGCGCTAGCTAGAAAGTAGAGTAGCTTAGCTTTATATAAAGCTATATTAGATTTTAAATATAGAATTACTTAGCTCTAAGGTATATAGCTAGAACTTCTACTTTAACTCTCTTTTATAGTATTTAATTATAATATAGTTAAATATCTTTTATTCTTAATTATTTCTCTAGCTTTAATAGTTATAAGCCTAGTAGCTTAATTATAGAACTAATACCTACTATATAATAGAAGTATACTAGAAGATAAATAAATTAATATTATTCTACTTTACTCTTTTTAATATTTAAGAATTAGAACGTTTACATAATAATAAACTTACTACTTTCTTTTTTATCTATTTTTAAATCTATTTTAGTGTAGTATTATACTTTAATTAACTATATTATATTACTAATTTAAAAGAGATAAGTAATTCTAATATAGCTATTTTAGCTATAAGTATACTTCTTAAGAAGTAATAAAAGAAGTTTATTTAGTTTATACTTTCTAAGTAATATTATAATAAAAAGAGTATCTAGAAAAAGATTAATTTTAATTTTCTAGATATAAGATGTATAAACTCTTATAAGTCTATTATAGTAGAATATTACTATAGAGTAAAGTAATAAATTCTAGTCTAGTAACTTTATATAGAAATTATAAAATAAATATATTTTTTAAATATCTTATATATACTATAATATAGTAGTAAGTATTAATAAATATTTTTTAAAATATTTACTATAAATATAGTACTTTAACTATAATAATAATATACTTATAAAAGGTAATAGTAATAGAGACTATTCTAAAAAAGTTAAAAGTAGTAAGAAGTAAGCTATAAAGCTAGAAATTTCTTAAAATATCTCTAATTTAGAAGTTAAAGTAGAAATAAGCTTTCTAAGGTAGATACTATAGTAGAGTAATATAAAGATTATAATAACTTAGTTATTATTATCTTTTTATTATTAAGCTTTATTAAGATTACACTTATTATTATTTCTTAATAAATTAGAAAAATTCCTAGTAAATCTAATTACTTACATAATTAAGATTTTAGTAGCTAGTT